GCTCTATTTAACCGCTCAGTTTACCTTATCTAAGAAATCTCTTTCACCTCATAAGAGAATTAAATGTAGTTAAGATTCAATCTAATGGCTAACTACTAGGGGGAAAACCTGTGGTATGGCTTAATGGAAGGGAATTTTCCTTCACACGGAGACCTATCAGTTACACTTGTAGCTATTCTTGTAAAAGTTAATGCTTTATTTCTAAAATATGTCTATTGAAGATCTAATTAAATTCTGTTAGATTTATTCAATACCCATATCCAGTAAACAATGGTAATGGAAAGATTTCTGGCCTGGAAATGCCAGGAAACGCAGTTTTGATGTGGCTCTCTCACCTTCCAGAACTCCACTTCCTCCCCAGCTATAAAATGGGAGCCAAACTCAATGAGCTTTAGAATTCATTTCAGCTCTGAAATTCTACAACCTATGATTGTTTTCTAAAACAAAGATAGCATTTTCCCCCAAAGAATTATCTTCTGAGATCGTGTGATATCTATTTCAGAGAGGCTGGGAGTGGAGAGGGGTCAATTTTTAATGGCTGCAGATGTTTTACAGATGTTAAAGATACATTGTGCTGATCACTGGGTTTGAAATCTCCAGCAAGTAAATGCATATTTACAAGTTTCCAGCATGTCATATAGTGAATCTGGTCTTTCATGCTCCAATATGCTAAAAAGACACCTATGCCTCCTTTGAAGTCAGTGGAAGCTCTAAACTCAGCTAAAGCATGTGCCAGCTTAATACCAATAGAAAAATCAGGCCAATTTTCATCCCATCAGTGCAAAATTAATCAAATAAGCCTATTTTTAAATGGCACATAAGCCATTTAACTTCATATTGCTCAGTACTAACTAGCATTAACTTAGTATTAATTTAGGATCTAGGTTATATTGCCTAGATTAAGAGGAATGTTAAAGTGTATGACTTAGATTTCAAACACATTATTCTTACGGACTTGAATGTAATTATGTAAACAATGTATTGATGGATCCACTGGATTTTTTTGGGGGGGGGAAGCTTTATAATCATTTAACTTTCTTCCAAATAATAAAATTTCATAATCTCACATTTATAAGTTCTATAATTAAATTATAATCACATATATGCTTGTGTTTGTGTGTGTTTCTGACAATAATGGCTTATAATTTAAGGTGTAAAATGGTTTTATAAGATGTTCATGGTTTCCTGAATGGAATCTGAAACCTCTGGATTTATTTAATTTCTCAAAGAAAGAGACAGTGCTATCATATGGAGCTAGATATTACTGAAAAAGTCAACTAGTAGCAGTAAATGTCAAAATTCACCTTAAAATGGCATCTCTAATTATAAATTGACACTAGCAAAGCAATGGCAGTTTTCATGATATTACATGCATTCACAAGCTCCTGCAACTGCCTGCCAAATCTCCAGTTTCTCTCCACATTTGCTTTTCCTTTATGACATTTACTTTAATCAGTCAACAGTAAGAATTCTGGTGTTCTCCTAAGCCATCCTACAGTTTAAAATCCTGACTACTTCATGTTCTTCTGATGGTGGGGTGGGGAGAACAGCCAGTCTTTCAGAACGAGATCTGTGCTTATCAATCAAAGCAGCCACAGCTGGGAAATTGGCCTCTGCAGAGGTGAAGTTGGTTCATATACTGGGAAAGGAAAAGCTGTTTCTGATTAAAATGGCGGCAAAACAATTCAGGCAGCTGGAGGGCCTTCTGAAAACTGGAAAGATTGGGTTTCCAGGGTCTGGACAATGAAGCAGAGAGAACTTAAGTTTATGAAAAGCAAATAGGAGAACAGCTTCAGGTTAGTTTAAAAATGGAGCCTGGGGAGACCTTATACAGAGAAAATCATGCAGGCTGAATCATAGTGGGGGAATGAATGAAGGAAAAGCCTGACTCTCAGAGATATAGTGATAGACAAATAAAGAAAATAAAGATAAAACCCCAGGCTTTAGCACAACCTCCCAAAAAGTCTGCCTGCATATGTTCACAGCTGGGTAAACCCTGTGGCACCACTAAGTAGTCTTCCCTTCGTTGAGTTCTTTCTGCTACTTGTCCCTCCCCTGAACCTCTCATGTGAAATCCCTTCCCCTGGTGTCATCTATAGTTTTGTTATTCAAAGTGTGGTCTGAGGGCCAGCAGCACTGGCATCTCCTAATGGATTCTGCCTTAGAAATGTAGAATCGTGATCCCCCAACTCAGGTCTACCAAAACAGAGTACCATTTTTTCCAAGATCTGCAAGTGATTTGTATGCATATTGAAGTTTGAGGAGCACTGCTCTATAATATACACAGTGTGCTGTTTTTGCAGGAGAGACTTTATTATTGCCTGAAAAGATGGCATAAAGATTATAAGTATCCATTATTTATTTGCTCAACAGATATTCATAAAGCACAATGGGCATACCACAGGGCCCTACTCTCAAGGAGTTAGCACTTTGCTGCTATTTGTTGAACTCTATTCGGTTCTTGGCATTGTGTGCTGTCCTAGGGTTGCAAAAGTAAATAGGACATTGTCCCTGCCCCTAATGAGGTGGTAGACATGTTTGGAAATGGTTAATGAAAAAGACATACTACAGTTTTAATGATAAAAATATGCACTTGGCACTGGGGTTACAGGAGAAAGAGTAGTGGATGTCTGTGAGGAAGGTGGTAATCAAGTTTTATAGAAATGTAAAGGCTTTTTACAAAGAAGATGAGCTTGAGCTGAATCTTGGAAAAAATAGTAAGGGTTTTTTTTTTCTTTTCTTTTTTCCAGGTGGACCATGGGGCATTGAAGGCAGGAGGATGGCAGGAGTAGGAAGAGTGTACAAGGAACAACTTTAACAAAGGCTTCGGGGCAAGAAAGAGGTTGGCCTATTCAGACAGTTTTAAGTAGCTCCATAAGACTGGGTTATAGGTTTGGAACAGGATAAATTAGGGTCTGGTGTTCAGAGGAAAGGCTGGAGAGCTTGACATGAGCCAGATTTGGAGGGTCCTATAGACTAATAACATTAAAGTTGATCCTACACAGCAGCTCTATAGAAAGTCACTGAAGGGTTTTCAGTTATGTAGTAACAGGATCATGCTTGTGTTTTTAGGAACACCACTTTGGAGGATGTCTGGAGAATGATGGGTTAGACATGTTGGTTGTAACGTAAAGTACATGGAGGCTCTTAACTCTAGGAAACAAACTGAGGGTTGCTGGAAGGGAGGGGTGTGGGGGGATGGGGTAACTGGGCAATGGGCATTAAGGAGGGCACTTGATGGAAGGAGCCCTGGATGTTATATGTAACTGATGAGTCACTAAATTCCTCCTTGGAAACTAATAATATACTATATGTTAATTAAATTGAATTTAAATTTTAAAAAAGTACATGGAGAAAAGTAATGGCGGATAAGGCTGGACAGGTAAGTTTGGCTCCAGATCACAGAAAATATGACTGCCATATTTTGAGTTTAAAAGGCAGCAGGGAGCCACTGAACTGTTCTAAGTGGTAGAATGCTTTAGATGGGGACAGACTGAAGGCTAAAGGCCAGTTAGAAGGTTACTGCAATAATTGAGGCAAGAGGTAATAAGAATCTGATGATTCCAAGAATAGAAACAGAAGCAGGTGCATAATTATAAGCACAGTTTCATTACTCATTTTAGGATGGCACAGTTTTATACATAAATCAGATCTTTAATATGTCTCCATTTTTGCATCCTAATATAGCCTTTACTTTTGCACTGATCACTGGGTGAGATGCTTTGAAAGTTCTCTGGGTCACCAATCAAAAAGCTCTTGTCTTAGCTCTAGGTCCATAGCTCAGCTCTAAATGGGAATTGCACACCCCAAAGTCACCCAAACTCAGAACTGAAATCTTGTTACAGAATTGTTCCCTATTTGCTTCTTTTTGTTGTTTCCCAGCCCTGATTATGTTTCTAGGGAGGCTTCTTGGTTATTCCTTATTCACTGTCAAGAAAACGTCCTTCCCTCGTCTAAGTTCCAGCCCCTTTCTACTCCCACTGTTTTATTTTACACCTCAGAATCACTGATTCCACTGGACTACAGAGAGATCAAAATCACCTTTCCAGTTCCCAGCTTCTTTAAAACAGTATAAGTTGTGGGGAAGGTACAACTCGATCATACTTCATAAACCCCAACCACTGCCAGAGTTAGTCTTCATATGATTTTGGGTCATGGAGCTTTTTGCTGGTGTTAGATATTCTGAATTCCTTCAGAAAGTTTTTACAAGTATTTCAGTTTCACAATATTGAATATTTATTACCTAGGTCAAATGTCATGCTTGGCCTGACTTCCAAAATATAGAATTTCAAATGGCCATTTTCTCCCTTAAAAATACATATGTATTTTTAAAAAGATAGGATGAAGTACTATATTCTATTTCCCATCTATCAATTTTCTCCATGTGACAATTTGCCCTCTGGCTTGATGGTTCTATTTTTTTAATTCAAGACCAAACAGGCTTAGAGAATGATTAGAAACATTCATACTGTAATATTAACACTTACAAAATCCCACTGTTCTTATCTGAGCTTTTCATTTTTGCTAAGATGCTTCACCAGAATGGAAGCTGCCCACACAATACTTGTATGAAAATTATACTTACTCAATAATATTCATATCTCCACCCACTTTTGAGTGGAACAGAACAAGCATTACGATATGCATGTGCACATTTGCATGAAAATGTACCATACACAAATTCAGGTTTGCATGCCCAATTTCAAATGTATATCCCATAGAAATGCACATTAGAAAAAGCATAAATTCTCAATGTCCAGACATTTTCCTCCCTAGATGGCAATTTTTTTCCCTAAAAGGGAAAGATAATGATAGCCTTAATTTATGTAGTACTTTTTTCCATTCTCCTTTCTCTACAAGAAATAGAAGTGTGCTGTTTTATGGGAAACTTTAAAAAAGCATAAATTCTTTCTTCCTTAACATATAGATCATAGTTAGTGTCCCAGAAGACTGGTTCTTTAGGCAAATTCTAGAATAAAGTGGAATTTGTCAATATATTTTCTCTTTTATGATAGTCTTTCCTTTTCTTAAAGTTACCCTGATTCCTTGCCAGCTCCATAGCTCACGACCTCCCTCACAGAGATCTCCCAGACTATTCTTGCCATTCCCCATCCCAAAGTATGAAAAATTTAATTCACAAAAAAGAAGCTCGTGTATTCCTGTGCAGTCCTCACAAGTCTTGTAATTTTGTAAGCTAAGAGAGTACATATTGTTACACCCATTTCACTAAATCTTATTTTTCACTTCCTTTTTACTCTTTACCTCTTATAGTTGTGTTCTGTTTCTTATTAATAATTTCTTGTTTTCTAAATGAATTTTTTAATCTCTTCAAGCTTTTAAAAATATCTGTTAGAATGTGTTCCATGACATTAATTTATCTGAAATGAATCAGAATTGGGTGGTTTTTGTTGGCTGTACTTCTTAGTTTTATGTGATTTTTTTGTTTACTTTTGAATTTTGGTTTTCAGGCACCCATTCTCCTGCTCCCTGTTTTTCCCCAAACCCTGACTTTTAAGAGTAAGATTGGATCTCATCTCCAGTTTTGCACAGAACACTTTTCATCCCTCTGCCATACAGAAACTAGATCGGAGTCAGAGTCCCCAGTCCTAAAGTCTGTGTACTACTTGGATTTCTATTCCATTTGTGGTTCACTGAAATGTTTACCTGGTTTTTGAACTTGGCCTTGTCTTTTTGATATTTAGTCATGTACTTTATTACTAGTTGGTATGTACTGTGAACTTACGGGGCCATCTTGACAAGAAGTTTGTGGTATTATCATTTTATACTTAGAAGTGAACTAATAAAGACTTATTACCTCACCCCAAATTGCAAACCTAACCAGTGGTACCATCTGGCCTGCAATTCACGTCTTTCATTTGGCGCTGATAATAAAAATTTATTTCATTTTAGAGAGAGCTGCTGTCAATGAACTGCTGACCAGCTAGGGTAAAGCAAGAAAGCACATGACTTAGAGTCAGAAGACCTGCTTTCAAATTCTGACTAGGCCAATTATTAGTATGTCTTGCCTTTTGTTTGCATATTGTATAATGGCAATATTACTAAATACCTAACAAGGTTGTCATGAGATTAGTGCATATGAGAACTTTTTTTTAAAATTTTGTTAGATAACATATGGCGCAATATTGGTTTCTGGAGTAGAATTCAGTGATTCATCACTTACATACAACACCCAGTGCTCATCACAAGTTCCCTCCTTAATACCCATCATCCATCTAGCCCATCCCCCACCCTCTTCCCTCCGTCAACCCTCAGTTTGTTCTCAATCATTAAGAGTCACTTATGGCTTGTTTCCCTTTCTTCTTTTTTCTTTCCCCCTTCCCATATGTTCATCTGTTTTCTTTCTTAAATTCCACATAAGAGTGAGATCATATGGTATTTGTCTTTCTCTGACTTATTTCACTTAGCATAATACACTCTAGCTCTATCCATGTTGTTGCAAATGGCAAGATTTCATTCTTTTTGATGGTTGAATAATATTTCATTGGATATATATACCTCATCTTCTTTATCCACTCATGGACATTTGGGTTCTCTCCATAGTTTGGCTATTGTTGATAATGCTGCTATAAACATCGGGGTGCGTGTACCCCTTTGAATCTGTATTTTTGTATCCTTTGGGTAAATATCTAGTAGTGCAATTGCTGGATTATAGGGTGTTCTATTTTTAGCTTTTTGAGGAACCTCCAAAATGTTCTTCAGAGTGGCTGCACCAGTCTGCATTCCCAACGGTGCAAGAGGGTTCCCCTTACTCTACATCCTTGCCAACATCTCTTCTTCCCTGTGTTGTTAATTTTAGCCATTCCAACAGGTGTGAGGTGGTATCTCACCATGGTTTTGATTTGTATGTCCCTGATGTTGAGTGATGTTGAGCATCTTTTCATGTGTCTGTTAGCCATCTGTTTGTCTTCTTTGGTAAAGTGTCTATTCATGTCTTATGCCCATTTCTTGACTGGATTATTTGTTTTTTGGGTGTTGAGTTTGGTAAGTTCTTCACAGATTTTCAATACTAACCCTTTATCAGATATGTAATTTGTAAATATCTTTCCTATTCCATAGGCTGCTTTTAGTTTTATTGTTTCCTTTCCTGTGCAGAAGCTTTTCCTCTTGATGAAGTCCCAATAGTTCATTTTTGCTTTTGTTTCCCTTGTCTCTGGCAATGTGGTTAATAAGAAGTTGCTATGGCTGAGGTCAAAGAGATTTCTGCCTGTGTTCTCCCCTAGGATTTTGATGGTTTCCTATTTCACATTTAGGTCTTTCATCCATTGTGAATTTATTTTTGTGTATGGTGTAAGAAAGTGGCCCAGTTTCATTATTTTGCATGTTGCTGTCCAGTTTTCCCAACACCATTTGATGAAGAGACTTTTTTCCATTAGATATTCTTTCCTGTTTTGTTGATGATTAGTTGACCATATAGAGAACTTTTTGTTTTGTTTTGTTTTAAAGATTTCACCTATTTAATTCGACAGAGAGATAGCAAGAGAGAGAACACAAGCAGGGGGTGTGGGAGAGGGAGAAGCAGGCTTCCCACTGAGCAGAGAGCCCGATGTGGGGCTCGATCCCAGGACCCCAGGATCATGACCTGAGCTGAAGGCAGATGCCCAATGACTGAGCCACCCAGGCATTTCTAGAGAACTTTTTTTAAAAAATGAAAGGACAATACAAATGTAGACAGATTAATAACTAAAAGACTTGTCTTTTTAAAGATATGTAAGTAATATGTGTTTGTTTCTGAGAAATCATAAAATATGGATGAATATGAAGAAAAAATAACACAACTAAGCTGTATATTCTTCCAGATTTATTTCTATCTATATTTATATTTTTAAAGTAGCAACTTAATTAAGCGCTTGTCAAATTTTACCTACACCCATATATACATGTAACCAATCAAGAAAACTCACTCCTCAAGGAATTTGGGAAAGGGTATTGATACCAAATCAGAGAAAGTAGTATTAATGTAGTATTGGTTGTCTTAGTTTGATTCTGTACATTCAGATTCCAGGGACAAAGCTTCCGTTTATATTTAACCTTTTCAACAAACTATTAGTTTGACTAGATCTTCCAGATTTCATTGTTGTAGACTACAAAATCCCATTTAGCTATTTGAAGCAGAAATGAATTTATTGTAGGAATTAAGTAACTCCTAGAATCTTTGTGGGGCTAGAGAATCAAGCTTGGAGTTTCACAATCAGAAACAAGTCACCTAGGGTTAAAGCCAACAGAAGAAATACCTGCTGTTCACACTACTTGGCCATCCTGGAAGACCTGCTCATTGGTGGCACCCATGAGGATCAGTACCTAACCTAGATTTAAGACATTCCACTGGAACTGTCCCAGAAGAACCATATGTCTCTACCACCACACTTGTCACATGTGGCCACCACCTTCTCAGCTCCCTTCTGCCTCTAACTTTCTCCGTGGACCCAAGTTCCAAGTGAAACTTTTCTTCAAGGAAATCTAGAAATGAAGTTTTTTATGTTTTGGGTTTTTCAGGCTCTATGGTAGGAAGGTAAGATATAATGGAACTGGAATTGGTAAGGAGTAAAGCCAACTGCACTATCTGCCACAGATTGCTACTATAATTTCCCCCATTTTATAGATGAGGAAATTGGGCCTTAGGTAGATTATGTTCTTTGCTTAATGATAAACAGTTTGTATGGAAGGAAGGCCAGGAGTTTTCAACTTCAGCATTCTGATCCAACATATGCTTTCCTAGCCACTATGATGTTTAATAATTACATGTTTACATGACTTCTTCCCTAATAGGGTATGAGTTTCTGAGGAACAAGGATTCTTTCTGACTCAGTATTTTTCAGAGTCAAACACTGGGTGTCATTATTCCTTCAGTCATTCAACAACTTCTTATTGAATAGCTACTATGTTCTAGGCACTCTTCTAGGGATTTAGGAACATGGGGTGAGCAAAACAGGTATGATTCCTGAACTTAGGAAGAGTGTTTAGTAGGACAGAGTCATTAGATAAAAAATTACACAGTAATTAAACACAACTTAAATTACACATAATATGGCAGAAAGATATGTGAAAATAAGAGAATGTTTAAATGGGGGAATTTAAGCTAAATTTGGAAGTCAGACAAAGAAAGTTTTCTCTACTTTTTTGCAATGGGTTTGCCACCAGAACACAGGTGTCATGAAAACCACCACTCAACCTAAACCAAAATGGGAAAGGAAAAGGCTCACATCAACATTGCCGTCATTGGACACGTAGATTCAGGCAAGTCTACTACTGGTGTGGTCATCTACTGGTCATCTGATCTAAAATGTGGTGGGATTAACAAAAGAACTATTGAAAAATTTGAGAAGGAGGCTGTTGAGATGGGAAAGGGCTCCTTCAAGTATGCCTGGGTCTTGGATAAACTGAAAGCTGAACGTGAACGTGGTATCACCATTGATATCTCCCTTTGGAAATTCGAGACCAGCAAGTATTATGTAACCATCATTGATGCCCCAGGACACAGAGACTTTATCAAAAACATGATTATAGGCACATCTCAGGCTGACTGTGCTGTCCTGATTGTTGCAGCTGGTGTTGGTGACTTTGAAGCCAGTATCTCCAAGAATGGGCAGACCCATGAGCATGCCCTTCTGGCTTACACACTGGGTGTAAAACAACTAATTGTTGGTGTTAACAAAATGGATTCCACTGAGCCACTCCACAGCCAGAAGAGATATGAGGAAATCGTTAAGGAAGTTAGCACCTACATTAAGAAAATTGGCTACAACCTTGACATGGTAGCATTTGTGCCAATTTCTGGTTGGAATGGTGACAAAAGACTGGAGCCAAGTGCTAACATGCCTTGGTTCAAGAGATGGAAAGTCACCTGTAAAGATGGGAATGCCAGTGGAAACACACTGCTTGAAGCTCTGGATTGCATTCTGCCACCAACTCGTCCAACTGACAAGCCCTTGTGTCTGCCTCTCCAGGACGTCTACAAAATTGGTGCTATTGGTACTGTCCCTGTGGGCCGAGTGGAGATTGGTATTCTTAAACCTGGCATGGTGGTCACCTTTGCTCTCCAGTCAATGTTACAACTGAAGTAAAGTCTGTTGAAATGCCCCAGGAAGCTTTGAGTGAGGCTCATCCTGGGGACAATGTGGGCTTCAATGTCAAGAATGTATCTGTCAAAGATGTTCATCGGGGCAATGTGGCTGGTGACAGCAAAAATGACCCACCAATGGAAGCAGCTGGATTCACGGCTCAGGTGATTATCCTGAACCATCCAGGCCAAATCAGTGCTGGATATGCACCTGTGCTGAATTGTCACACAGCTCACATTGCTTGCAAGTTTGTCGAGCTGAAGGAGAAGATAGATCGTCGTTCTGGAAAAAAGCTGGAAGATGGTCCCAAGTTCCTGAAATCTGGTGATGCTGCCATTGTTGATATGGTTCCTGGCAAGCCTATGTGTGTTGAGAGCTTCTCTGACTATCCTCCTCTGGGCCGTTTTGCTGTTCGTGACATGAGACAGACGGTTGCTGTGGGTGTCATCAAAGCAGTGGACAAGAAGGCAGCTGGAGCTGGCAAGGTCACCAAGTCTGCCCAGAAAGCTCAGAGGCTAAATGAATATTATCCCCAATACCTGCCACCCCAGTCTTAATCAGTGGTGGAAGAATGGTCTCAGAACTGTTTGTGTCAATTGGCCATTTAAGTTTAATAGTAAAGGACTGGTTAATGATAATGCATCACAAAACCTTCAGAAGGAAAGGAGAATGTTTTGTGGACCACTTGTCTGTCTGTGTGTGTGTGTGTGTGTGTGTGTGGCAGTTTTAAGTTATTAGTTTTTAAAATCAGTACTTTTTAATGGAAACAACTTGACCAAAAATCTGTCACAGAATTTTGAGACCCATTAAAACAAAACTTTAATGAGGAAAAAAAAAGTTTTCTCCAAGGAAATGGCTTGAATTATAGAGACTTGTAAGATGAGTAGGTATCAGTCAGAGTAAGGGAAAGGTTGGGGCAGAGAGTACTGTAAACACGTGGAATAAATATAGTATGAGAAACCTTTGAGGTTGAAAGGAGGTTAGTTAGGGTATTGAAAGAAGGCCAGTATGCCTGAAATATAGACAATAAGGAAGAGACTGACTTGGGATAAGTCTAAAAGGACAGGAACTCATTAAATGTTCACTGAATGAATGAACGTGTGCATGTACCAGTAGGGGGTATCTGTGAAGCCTTCTAAGTTTACTTTTTACACTGACATTCTATGATTCCACAAGAGTCAGTAAATCTCTGCATTTTTAGAAAAGGAAAAGTAAAGCTAGAGTGGTAAACTGCCCTGAACTTATTAGAATATACTGATAGTCCACCTTAACACTTTAGAATTAATCATTTTTGTGGATGCTGTGGATTCTACAAGAAGAAAAGTGGAATGGACCCAATTATCTAATACCTGAAAGTGAAATGGTAAAACTAACAGAATAATTTAGTTAAATAAAATGAAGCAGATAGTTTCTTTCTTCTCCTCTTCATTCATAATTGCTTTAAAATGGATGGTTTATTTCTCTATTATTTGAAGTTTGTTATCATAGACATATACTCGAACCTCAAACAGTGTCCTTGACATTTATGAAAAAGCCTTAAAGTTACTCTTCCTTTTCTCATCTGCTTCTCTTCCAGGTCAATGAACAAAGCATAAGGCCTCTAGTTGTAAGGTTGATCCCTTTATCTGTCCTCTGAATCTCATTGCCTTCTGCCCATTCTGGATTTCACTTACTCAATTTTATCACTCTCTTCTCAGCATCTGCAACCTTTTCCTCTAACCTAGTTCAAAATAACATAGGTCTCAGCATACAATCATGTTCAATTCTCTCTCATGGTAAAAATAGACAAAAACAAATAATAAAATAACTCCTCAAATATGTCTTCCTTGATCTATAATCCTTGTTTTCTCTTTTCCTTCACATCCAAGATTTTTAAAGAGTAGTTGCTGTTTATTGGCATCCCTCAACTGCACTGTGACTTCTGCTCCTATGTTCCAATGGAACTGCCTCTGAAAGTATCACCAGGGACCTCTTTGTTGCCATACCTAGTGGGCACTTTCCAGGTCTTTTGGGGTTGACCTCTAGGCAGCATTTGATACTATTAACCAGGTACTTCTGGAAGCTGATGGCACCAGGAGGAGGAACAAGCCAGGTTCCCAGACTCACCACATGGAAGGGTATCCACCTTATACTCAATCGAACTATTGTGTGTGCAAGAAATAAACTTATGTTGTATTAAGCCACTAGGATTTATGAACTGTTATAGCACCTACCATTATTTACCCTGACAAACGTATGATTATTATTAGCTATTCCTGATCTGGTCTCCCTGACTAGCCTCAACTGTCATCATTCTCTCTGTGAACTCAATGCCCCAGCTACACAAAACACTTTATATGCATATATGTGTGTATGCTATTGCCCATGCTATTTTTAATTCCTTTCTCCATATTATCTGTTGACACACTTATCCTTTTGGCCTAACTTATAGCATCTGAGAAAGTTCCCTGTTCCTGACAAACATATTCCCACTACACCTCATATACCCCTGTTATGGATTAACTAAATGTTTGTCTCCCCAAAATTCATATATTGAAACCTATTCCCCCAATATTTGGAGGTAGAGCCTTTGAGAGGTGTTTAAGTCATGAGGGTGGAATCTTCATGAGTAAAATTAGTGCCCTTATAATAAAGATCGCAGAGAGCTCCTTCACCCCTTCTGCCATGTGAGGACACAGTACAGAGACTGCCACCTAGGGGAGCCTCGGTGGCTTGGTCAGTTGAGTTTCCAACTCTTGGTTTCAGCTCAGGTCATGATCTCAGGTCATGGGATTGAGCTCTGGTCTGGCTCTGCACTCAGCATGGAGTCAGTTTGAGATTCTCTCCCTCTCCCTCCCCTCCTGCCCCTCCCCCTGCTCGTGCTCTCTCTTTCTCTCTCTCAAATAAATAAATAAAATCTTAAAAAAACCAAAACTGCCATCTATGAACCAGGAAAAGGATCCTCACCAGACACCAAATCTGCTGGCATCTTGACCTTGGACTTCTCAGCCTACAGCACTGTGAGAAAAAAAAATGTTTATAAACTCCCTCAGCTTATATTTTTATAGCAGCCTGAGCTAAGACATCCTCTGTTGTAGCACTCATAATTTGTATCATAATTGTTTTCCATTCTTAAGTGAATGTTTTGAGGGCAGACACCATGTATTTTCAGCTGCCTTCTCACTGCCTATAGCATTATCTGTCACTTGATAAGAGGTTCTCAGGTTTGTGGAATATAGGAATTATAAGAATTGCAGGTGTGATTTGTTAAACAAGTTTCAAATGATAAATACTGGATCCATAAATGAAATTTTATATGAACATTAGATTCTGGCAAAGAAAAAAAATTTGTGGTTTTATATTTTATTTTCCTTAAACCCTAGGTATTTAAGATGTATAACTTTCTAAAAAATAAACTCTTACCTACCACTGGTTTTAAAGATTAATTTGGGCAACAATCACATAATTATGTATCCTTTGTATCTAATTTTCTTAGAGGTGATTTTCTATGCACAAAATAATATCTGCATATGATCACATTTTTGTATTCCAAAGTATTAATATTTTAATTAGCTATAAGCAGTAGAAAAGAGATTTATCTAGTCTGCTCTGGAAGTGCTAATATGATTTTAAAAAACAACTAAGAACACTAATTTTGTTGTCAATTTCATATCCTTATAATTACCTCTTAAATAGGCAGCACTTTTCTCATGGTAATCACTGCTGTTTTCAAATGCCTTAAAAAGAAGAAAAGCATTTAAGCTAATTCTTAGAAAAGGTAAAATTGTTTATTTTGACATTTGTTGGCTATGGACCATGTCCTTTCCAATTCTGAAAAAGACAACCTGGAAACTTCTGTGTTAAGAACAAATAATTTTAATATCTTTAGAGGTATCTAAAAATGGAACCACTTTTAGGTGTCAGATAAGATGATCTTCATTCATCTTCTCTCAAAGGTACTGGCCAGTAACATTGGGTGGGGTATTATCAAATTGTTACTGTGTCAATGGCTCAACAAAGTAGTCTAAAGAGTCAGATGGGTAAAACCTAGTGACCTGAGGAATAACTCCTTTCTTCAACCCCAGCCTTCTCTAAGCTGGACACTTGTTAACAGGAGGAAATGTAGGCTACTTCTTTTAGAAGAGGTCATATTAATTGGAAGGGAGACAAAACAGTTTAGCAAGTGGGT